GAAACTGGGGCAGAAAATTTCGTTCGTTTGTTTTGTTGTCTCAGCAGGTCTGACCCTGAGGTGCATGGATCGAGATGACCTACGGAGTGAGTCTCAATTCAGAATAAAGAAAGGAAGAAAAGAACAAAAAGAAGATGTTCCCAAATATTGGAGCAAACAAAGTACAGATCGCTCAAAATCTGATTGAAGTCACAAGCTCCACCAATTCCGCTTCACTCAATACCGCAGAAATAAACAAACGCCTAATACTTGCGAGCATCAAGATTCAGATCGAAGTCTACAAGCAGAATCAGCTAAGACTCAAGATCAATTTGCGAAAGAATTATAGATAGGAATCTTGTAACTAGTAGTTGATAGACATAGCTAGCTTAGTTTTAATTTTCCTTTGGTGTAATAAGGAGGTCAGTAAAGCAGTAGTAACAGCATGCAACAGCAGTAACATCAACATTACAGTTCCATGGTAGTCCCAGCTACCAAAACTTCCCGAACTACATTGACCTGATTCCTGTTTAGCCCAGGATATGTAGGAAACCTTTGAAGCAAAGGTTCGGTCAAATCTTTTTCAAAAAAAAAATGCTTCACACGGAGCACTCGGATGGGCAAAAATCGCTCACTTTATCTTTGCATGAAAACTCTTCGTATTTTCGGACAAAGAGGGGCAGCTGTAAGCACGTGATTTTTGCCCTATATGAGAATTACTCCCAAAAAATTCAAAATAAAATAATTTTCCTTTGTGTGCAATTTTTGAATTTTTGTGGCATTTTTGGATAATTATTTGTATTTTTTTTGTGCATGTTTATTTGTTATATTAATAAAAAATATAAAAATATGTCGCATTTGCATTTAATATTTAATTCTACAGTTATGAGTAATTAAGTTTTATTTTACAAAATGAAAAAATCATAAAAAATATGTATTTTTGCATTTTTAGCATTTAACGTCCAAATTGTGTGATTTTATCGTTAATTGCTATTTAATTGTGTGTTAATTGTTATTAGGAGCTAATTAGT